GTATCACCTAAAATTTCAAGATTTTTCGACACCGGGCCCCGAATCCTCCAAAATTTCTCAAAAAATGTGGATATTAGACTTCAATTCTGATATTTTTGACATTTTTTTCTCTCGGAAATAAAAATTGCCGAAATGTTTACCATGATCCCCAATACCGTCCGGGAGTCCCATTGGGTGGGTGGAACCATCCAATTTGCCTTTAAACGACCAATTTACCGGCTTACAACATGCATCGATTTCATTAACTCAATCCGACCACGAACAATTATGACAACTAATAAAGATCATATATGGTTCCAAACAGCATTATATAACCCCTAGAATTATCCCCTAAAATTTCAAGACTTTTCGACACCGGGCCATGAAACCTCCAAAATTTCTCAAAAAAGTGGATATTAGTTTTCAATTTTGGAATTTTTTTAACTTTTTTCGCCCGTAAATAAAAATTGTTGAAATGTTTACCATGATCCCTAATACCCTCCGGGAGTCTATCCGGGAGGGTTGGTGGAACCATCCAATTTTCCTTTAAACGCCAATTTAATTACCGATTTACAACTTGCACGGATTTCATTAACTCATGCCTACTACGAACATTTATGACAACATATAATGATCATATATGGTTCCAAATGGCCTTATATGACCCTGAGATGTATCCCCTAAAATATTAATACTTTTCTTCACCGGGCCCCGAAACCTCTAAAATTTCTCAAAAAGCGTGGATAGCCTTCAATTTTGAAAATTTTTGATTTTTTTTTCGCCCGAAAATAAAAATTGCCGAAATGTTTACCATGATCTCTAATACCGTCTGGGAGTCTAATTGGATGGGTGGAACCATCTAATTTGCCTTTAAATGACCAATTTACCGGTTTACAACTTGCACCTATTTCATTAATTCAAGCCTACCACGAACATTTATGACAACAAATAATGATAATATATGGTTCCAAACGGCATTATATGAACCCGAGATATATCCCATATTATTTCAAGACTTTTCGGCACTGGGCCCCGAAACCTTAAAAATTTCTCAAAAAGGGTGTATATTAGCCTTTAATTTTGGAATTTTTTGACTTTTTTTCGCTCGGAAATAAAAATTGCCGAAATGTTTACCATGATCCCTAATACCCTCCAGGAGTCCGATTGGGTGTGTGGAATCATTCAATTTGCTTTTAAATGGCCAATTTACTGGTTTACAACTTGCATCGTTTTACCGGTTTACAACGGCCAATTTAATTAACTTGCACCGAACCCGACTTGAACCGAAATTGATCCAAACCCGTTTTAACCCATCAAAACCTGAATTTAACCCGACTTTTTACTAACCTGACCTGAATTCAACCCTATCCGTTCCTAACCCGACCCGAATTTAACCTAACCTGTTACAAACCCGACCATAAATCAACCCGACTTGTTATTGACTTGACCCAAATTCAACCAGACTTGTTATTGACCCGACCCGAATTTTACCTTACATATTACTTACCCAACCCAAAAATTCAACCCAATCTTACTAACTCGACCCGAAATTAACACGACTTGTTATTGTTCCGACCTAAATTCAACCCAAATTATTCCTGACCCGATTTTCAAATCACCTTAAATGCAATTTATACCACCTTATTATTGTTGATCAAAGCATTTTGTCTTGGGAGACCAAGTCGGTCCAGGCCAGCAAAAGAAAGGATCATCATCTTCAAATTTATGAGTTAAATATAGTACTAGTATAGTAGTATATATATTTGTTGTATGATTAAAGGAGATAGGTATTTTCCTAAATTATAGATTATGGTTCGCTAATATATTGTCATATATATTATAGTCAAAGGAAACAATTAGCTTGATAAAAATGATAATTATCTACTTATAGTTAAATTAGTTGAACCCGAATATGACCTGACTTGAAAATAACCCGACCTGATTGTAACCTGCAAATTATTGACTTGAACATAACCCGTCTTGAATCCGAGAATGCCCAACTTGGAAATGACCCAACTTGATTATAATCCGCAAATTATTGACTTGAACTGAACCCGACTTGAACCCGAGAATGACCCGGCCTGATTATAATCTGCAAATTATTTCAACCAAACCTGACTCAAACCCGAGAATGACCCGACTTGATTCTAACTCGCAAATTATTGACTTGAACCGAACCCGACTCGAACTCGAGAATTAACCTAACCCATTTTAACCCGTGAAAACCCGAATTAAACCCGACCCGAATGTAACCCGACCTGTTATTAACCCGACCCAAACCCGATAAGAAGTATGACCCGACGTGACCCGACTCAAGCATGACTTAACCCAAACCCGACCCGCATAGGTTATGGAATTAATCCAAATTGACCCAACCCGAGTTGACCCGACCCACTCTTACCCGACCCAAACCTGACCCATTTACCTGAATTGACAACTTTAGGGGATAGGGACAGGATGGCTGGGTTTTGGTTTCAGGTTATTTTTTTGTAAATTTTTATTTTTTTTTTAAATTTTGTTTGGACCCATCACGTGTGGACACGTGTCTAAGTAATTTGCAATATCAGGTTAGATTACCTGTTGGCTGCAATTGAAATTGATCCCCCCCCTAGAGTTGTTAGTGATGGGGAATAATTCAAAATAGGGATTAATTTGGACAGACAAGATAAAGTTCAGATTAATGAGAGCAATTTTTCCATTTTTAAATATATCTAACTATTTTTATCTCAAATTTAACGGTAGTAATAAATCTGGAAATTTGAGGGGTGCTAAGGCTCCTGGCGGTCCCCTTATGTTCCACCTATGTATAAGTACTCTATATTATTTTATCATGTACTTCCTCCATTCTTTATACTTGACCCGCTTTGACTTTTACACTATTCACCACCCCTCCTTTGACCGTCTTTTGTGAATATTTTGTAAGGAAAAATATATTCATGTATGATCTTTTTGGATTCGTCTCAATAAGTAATATCATAATATGTAACTTTTATAATTTTTGCTTAAGGAGAATTTAAGTTATTGATCATTAAAGTTTTGCATTGGCAAGCGTGATAAAAGAAACAGGTAAAGTAAAAAAAGAACGAGGAAGTACATACATTCAGCAACTTTTGTTGTGATCTTAACCGTTAAACTTTTAATTTATGTTTTACTCTGTTAAGAGGTCTACATTGATCTATTAATCTTACTTGTGCTAATTAACTTGTTCCAAGGAACTTATTATGCTACAAAGGCTAAAGCAAAAAGATTGTAACAATATGGAGTAATGAAAAAGCAAAAAAGAGAATAAAAACAAGAGTTAAATTAGCTTGATAAACGGCTGCAATCAAGGCTAGATAGTGTTAAAATCAATGGAAAGTTAAAACATGAAAAATCCTGGGCATATAAGGAGAGCAGATTATCGGACGGTAGTTAGAGTAGAGAGGTGAGCAAGTAGTGGCAGACAAGTGTTCATTTGTAGTACTATGCTATTGTTGCTTACTTTGGATAAATCATAAACGCATTCTATTTTTCCGGCGGCCCCACCCACCTTCCACAACTTTGATTAATTGAATGGAGTACAAAGTTGCATCAATAGAAAATAAATATCTATGTTAAATTCTTAGTAGGTTTAGAATTAATCAAAGATAATTCAGCTATAATAGTTTCCATAATTGTTATTTCACATCTTACAAATAGTTTTAAGCTCGTGAGTTATCTACTGTCATTCTCCAAACACCTTAGGATTAAATTCCAACTTTAATTGATTTTCTTTGACAATGTTTTTTAACCCATTGTTAGTAATGGGATATATTTCTTTTATAGGTGGTGAGTAGTGGGATAAATATTACTTGTAATAGAAATAATGGGTAAAAGGTAAGGTGAGAGAAATAAATAAAAGTATAAAATCGAGTGCTTTCATGCTATTCATTTGAAGAAAGAGTGGCTTATGGATTTAAGAAGAGCAAGTTATATTACAAGAAAAATGTGTCAATTAAATAAGAATGGTTTTATTTAACTTGAATTACTGAGTAGTCATAAAACATGCATGCTTAATAATGAGTAAGGGCCTGTTTTCTTCAGATTTTTTCAGTTCAGTTCCTTATTTTCTTCTCTCATAAAATATTCAGTCCAGTTCAACTCAATTCAACTCTAATATGTTCAGTTCGGTTCAGCCAATCAGAATAGACTCTAACACTATTTTTTTTTTGGTAATAATTGTAACTGTTTCTCAAATTATTTATGTATGTTCTACAATACTCTCTCCAATTTTGGTAAAAATAGTCTACATATTTTCACCATCCACGGATAATAGTCATCAACATTAAAAGTACCTTTGCTCCCTGTAAGAACTCAATCTTTGTACTGCAGTCTTCATATATATTAAAATAGTTACTATAATGATCATAAATATATTAATTGTGTTTATTAGTTGATTAAGCCACTCGTTTATATCATCTGAATTATTACTCTATAAAATCTTTATTAAATAATGTTTTGGAAGATAAGTAGGTTTTGGGATGACTCAGCTAGCTCTTTTTTTTTTTTTTTTTTTTTCTCTCTCTTCTTAATGATCAAGGTGTGTGTGAGAGTGCGAGTGCGACGTACCCCTCCAAGGGTCCAACCCCACGAAGAAATTAAAGAAGCTCATCACACACCAAAGCAATCAATGATCATAGCACTAGGTGGATATGGAATTTAGCGTCATAATAGTAACATTCCTTAATTACAGGGATAAAGAAGTACCCTATTGTCTTTTTCAATGATTTTAACACATTTAAGTCTATATCATCTAATTATTCCATTGTATATATATTTATATAAAAAAAACTAATAATTCAATGGCATTGCCCTTCATGGTCATCAAATTATTGTACACCTTGTTGATAAAATTGATTTAAAGTATATCACATTAATTGTAATAAATGAGTATTATTTGTGAGACATAAATTTTTTTTGTTCATACTATACTTATTAAAAAAATAATAATAATAAAGCTTAAAATAAGATAATAGTAATACTTAATTTGGAATCAAAAGAGGAAAAGCAAACATAAGCATAGTTGCATAAAGTGTTTTTACACTTATTACAATATTTATCTTATACATCTATACAGGGTATAATGTACGATCCGTAATAAGTCAACATGAACGTTTTATTTCATTTAAGGTTACATCTGAAAGTAGAAAACCCAATCTAAGGGCTTAATTGGCTTTCTATTAGTCAATGAAAATATGTCAAAGTAGCCGTTAGTTTATTGCAGTAACGTGGGCATGTTCATGTGCAATTGTGCAAATATGGGCGATACCATAAAAGACATAGGTAGTAGGGTTGTTTGCTAATTAAATCCCCTAGTTTGTTGTCAGAGAACGCACATTTAGCCGTTAATTTAACATTTAAACTAAAATCTTAACAAAGATAACTAATCACTCTATAACTTTAATCACAGTTTAATTTCGCATTTCCATAATCTAATTCAGTTCAGATGCTTGAAAACGACTTTTTCTGAATGCCATTGCTGGACCTGCAGTGTTGTACTGATAATAGCACACTATTGCCCGGAATTATACAGCACCGAATGACGTAAGTGTCAATGCTTATTAAGAGCTTTATCAGCTTCTCAAGAACGAATGTTACACGAAAGAAATGATAGGAGGGCAAAGCTCTTTCAGTTTCTTCAAGCAATCGATTCAATTTCCCTCCATGAGTGCCGGGAGCCTATCAGTTCCTGTCTATTTACAGTATTTCTTGAACCAAACTCCAATATTTAGGAAGCTTTCAAAGTCGGATTGCGGTCTGCAATGAAGACAAGGAGGGTCAGGAGTTACTATTGACAAAAAGCATGCACCTTTAGAAGTACATACACTTAACACAAACTTGTTTCAGGCTCAGTCAGACAGTCACCCAACGTTTCACAAATGTCACCCCTATTTTGTCATCCCAAATCACATACGAAGTACTGCACAAAGGGTGGACTTACATGTGATTAGGGGAGACATTTATTAATTTACACCCTTTGTATACAAGATATATGACAGGTTGCTTACTTGTCAATTGCGTGAATATCTTCCGGAAACACAATTATCTTGACTTCAACTCCTCTTTCCTTCAATGCCTGTGCATACTGTACTTGTACAAAAAGCAACATGTCATTCTTTTAATGTTTAACATTAGAATTGAGCGAGGGCATGATTGAAGAGCATCCCAGAGCAAAAACAGAAAACAAATCAAGCACAGTTTAAATGTCTTAAAAATATAGTTTGGAGCAGATTGCCAGAACTCAGAAGTTTGCACAATTACAGGAGCAGATTCTCTGCTTGGACTAATCTTATGCCAAAAGTTATTGCCAAGTTATGTTGCAACTGATGTTTGATCATATTGACAAACAATTCCTTCAATAAACACCCATAGTACAACAATGAGCATTCTGATTCTAACATAGCCACAGCTCACACGAATAATTGCATAAAAATAGGTGCTAAAGAACAATTAAGGCAGTGAACAAAGCATGTTACCTCTAATCCATTGCTGGATGGAACTCGGAGGTCCTTAGCACCTATAAGGAATATAGTGGGCGTTTTGACCTGCAAGATAGTTCGTATAGACATCAATTCAGATTTTTTTCTTATGAGGGGCAAAAATGTACAGAATTGATATGTAAAAGCAGTTATTCATAGGGAGTAATTTGCAATGTTTACTCCCAAAGCTACAGATTGATCATTATACCATTGAAATGTAATTGATATATCATACATAGTACATGCAAGGCACTTGATGAAAGGACTTGTGGATTGTCATTTTTCAAAATTTCAGTCACCATGTTAGCAATGCTTTTTTGAAGATCATTTACCTTGTTGACATGCGCAATGGGAGACTTGTCATAAAGGACACTTAAATGTTCCTTTGAGGGTGCACTAGTAAAGTGCGCTATTCCCTCTTTCCCAAATGACTCCACAAAACACCATTCGGGGATATCACTAGTACTGACCATCGAAACGAGGTTACATACAGGATTCCTGGCTGCTGCAGCAGCAAACTTTTCAGGAGCCTGCAACAGGTAAACACCACACACAAGGCAGCACAATGTCACAAATCTGTATTTCAGTCACAAGGAAAGCCAGGGGACAAAAATTCAAATGCCTATAAATTTCATAGAGAAACAAATCAGGGCATCATCCCAGTGCCTCTCAGAACATCCTGCCTACACAGGTCATGAGAATTAAGAAGTGGGTTCTTAAGCTTAGCCCTTGCAAAAAGAGAGGCTCTTCAAAAAAAAGAATACAAGTATAAATGGGTTCGAGATTATTGTTGGGAATATTTAGCCTTGGAAAAAAGGGAAATAGAGGGGAAAAGAGGGGGGGGGGGACCAGCACCTGTCCAATGAGATGGGTGGTCAGAAAGCCACCATGAGAACCACCCAGAACAGTGATTTTAGAGGGGTCCACTAATTTCAAATCAATAGCGTAGTCTATTGCTGTGAGCACATCACCAACATCCTGCATCAAACCCGGAATAATAAGGCCAAACACGATACTTACAACTCAAATATGATAAACATAAACTGGACAGCTGCCAGCACCTGAAATCCTATTTTCCCAGGAAGAGACTGTAGTGCTTCTTCTCCAAACCCTAACGAGCCTCTGTTATACAACACCAAGAAAGTATAAAAACAAATATCCGTGGAACCACTTAATAAGTATAAACTAAAATTTTGCAAAATCTAATGTCTACCTAGAGTTTGTCAAAGTGCAGTAGTGATGTATTACAATACAAACACTACTTTCCCAGCTCATATTATTAGGTTTCAAGGGTGGTATTCAGGTTTCTCCATACAAAGCCAAGATGAGCATTCTATAACTTTTTACCTCTACCACAAAACTCGATGATGCAAGCGTCGCACTATCATCTATTGCATAAAATATCTTATGGTAACTGCTGTAGCTCAATTTTATAAATACTTAGATGATTGTACTCATGCCTTACCTATAATTAACAATTAGTAAGTTATAACCAATTGAAGAGAGAAATGCCAATGACTTAGAGAAGCCCGTTGTTGAGACAGAGTGTGGCCCCCCATGAAGAACTACAATCAATGGGTTACAGGAGTCACTTTTCTCTCTTTTGGAAGACACAAATATGGCTTCAATAGGTTTGGAAGCACCTGAAAAAACAGAACCAGCATTTAAATTATTGGGATAAATAACAAGAGCCATGACCAAATCAAAATGTAAAAAAAATGCACAAAACGAGAAAGAAACTAAGCAAAAGATAAGTTACAATCCCAACAAAGCATAGCAGTATCATTCTACTTGCCTGCTTCACTTTAATAAGCGAACTAGGGGCAACTACAGAACTTGGCACTTCCTAAGTGCCTAGCATTAGAATAAGTTGATCAAAAACTGGAAATGTCATCCAAAACAAATCACTCCTGTAGTTCTATCATAGTATCAAGAAATAACCACTAGATTATCAACTATCAAGTTTAATGATCAAGCACCATAAACCTCGTAGGTTTCTGATTGGGATGTTTGAGAGTAGTAGCTTGGTCAAACAACAAAGGAAAATTGCCTACTGAATGAATGAGTCCAAAAATTTTGGGGAATAAGTACAATTAACATTTAATCAATAATAAGTTAGCAACAAAGTCTCCCATAAGGAACAGAGCAAACTTGACAGCTAAGCACTACTATGCAGCTTCAGCTTTAATTAGTCATTTCATTAGGTATTTGATAGGTCATGCAATTTTTTAAGCGGGGGGGGGGGGGGGGGGGTGGAATTATTTCGGCTAAAGATAAAAGGAGGTCTGTACATGCATTTTGAAGCTATTTATTCAAGAAGCAAGGGCATGTTTTCATTTTAACAAGACATTTAAAAGCTACCTTTGGAAGAGTTCCCTGATCCGTCCCTCACAGGAACCTTCATAATGCTGAACTGAAGGGAAGACAACAAGGATTCGACCTGCAATCACAATTAATTACTCATTAATAGTGCTGTACACACTTCCCAGTCATGCAAGTGCAGAAATGAATGCATCAAAATAAATAGTGAACCTCCTTAGAGCATCTGAAAGCAAGGCCAGACACATCTTGCCAACTCCATGAAGCACTTGTTGAAGATTCTTTAAGAAGCGAACCATATTTGATTTCTGGAACCTGTACTGGGCTGCTACAAACTGAAATTACTCTCAAAGCTAAGAATTGAGGGAAAAAAGTGCATTCACACAACAACAACACACACAAAAAAAAAAAAAAAAAAAAAAAAAAGAGAAGTTGAAGAAAGAGTAATGGACATACTAGCAATGATATTATCTTCATCAAGGGAGAGAAGATTCCATGAAGATGTAGAATCATGGGGTGTTAAGCGCAACATTACCACTGTAAAATGAAAATTATATATCAGGTAATCAATCAGTAGAAAAGAATTAGCAGTGAGACTTGACACATGAAACCTTTTGCTACCTCAGTATATCCACGGAAAGTATAACTTGGGTACTTCCCCATATGGAAGATAAAATGACAGTACGCCCATCAGAGAGCCATGGGTTCGTCAGGAAGCTGGAGCAATATAGCCCAGGGAAGCAACCATCCCCAGGACACATCACAACAGGAACCTACAATGTGAGAACAAGCACGAAAACACACTCAGATAAGAGGAACAAAGCTCACCAATTTCTTTTCTAATTTTAAAAATTAATTTTACAGGGATGGCAACAAAAATTTGGACCACCCTAATTATCTCATGGTTGGCAACAAAAATCTCACAGGGATGGCATAGCCTAATAATTTGTATTTCGGAAGTTGAGACTTGGAAGAATGGAGGATAATAAAAAAAAATAATTACTAAAATTTGAAATTCAAAATAGAATTTTTCTAATAGTAAAGCTCTAAAATATGTTTTAAAAAAAATCTCTACAGTTTATAAAAATTGAGGCATTAAGGTCTATATGCATATCAGTGTTAATGATCAGATACAAGTATTGACGTGCAATAAATCAACTTAAATAAATGAAGTATACAAAGTAGTTAGCATACATTGCATATGGTGTATTCACGCGCAAGATAGCAAAAATAAGGATGGTAAGAGACTAGTAGGAAGTTAAACTTTCAATGCACACCATTACCTTTTCTAGTTTAAAAAAATCAATTATATACTGTAATTTGTTGACTTTGTATACCATTCAGTTGTAAATAGATGACGTTATCATTTATACATTGCGGTCTTCAAATTATATCAGACTGATAATATTTTTTATGCTCTAATGGAAAGTAATTAATACCATGACACTCACCCTGAGATTCTTTCACATCACTTGGAAATAACACAAAAGAGAAAATGGAAAGCGGTTCATATGAAACAGTTCTAAGAATGAATTTATATGAAAGACCATCTCATAAAAAAGGAAAAATTAATAGGAAAGGTCCCAACTATTAGCATTCTTTTTTAAAAGGGTCAAACTATTAATTAACTCATGACAGCCCCAACTATGAGGTGCTCCTTCCAAAACAGTCCTTGACCTGTTTATGACCGGTTAAACAGGTTATTGACACCACATGTCAAGAATCGATTGGCTAATGTTTTATTATTGTTTTTTTTAAAAATGTTCTCCCCCCATTCTACCTACTTGACCCTTTCCACGGCCACCAAGCCATCAATCTCTGCACCGACAACTGCACATGAACGGATGGACCCCTAACCACCTGTTTCTGCAACTTCACTCCTCTCCCACTAGAACCCAAGCCATACTCTAAAAGTATCCTCCCTTCCTAAACCCAGCCACCGTCATAGATCATCCTATACACCAGCCACCTCCCTACTTTTGCGATCTCTTCCTCTCAAGTTGAGCTGTGTGGGAACGTGGGTGGTGGTGAGCAAGGATAGGTGGACGATATTGTGGGAAGTGGTGAGCAGGACACAGGTGGGCGTGGGTCTAGGTGGATGGGCTGATGGGCGGTGTCTAGTGGTTGGAGATGGCGTGGGCTAGGTGGAGAAAGAAGGGATTAATTAATTAGATTTTTTTAAAATGAATGGGATTGCAACACATGGCAATATTTACCGGTTTACCCAGTCATAACAGGTCAAGGACCATTTTTGCAAGAACCCCTGATAGTTGGGACTGTTGAGGATTCATCAATAGTTTGACCCTTTTAAAGAAGAATGTTAATTGTTGGGACCTTTCTTGTTATTTTTTCCCATTAAAAATTTAACATTGCATAATAGTACGCCTCACCACATCAACAATTTTGGAGGATAAATTTAGATTTCCATCAGTGGGCCAATCTATACGATGTAGTGAATATGTAGCTGAATGTGCTCCTGAGTCAATAGAAGCTTTGGCAGACAAGAAGATAAGGAATTTGCCATCAGGACTGAAAAGATAAGGTAAAAAAAATACATCACATAAGAGTCTCAAGATTATAGGTAGTCAGTAAATTTTTGGTTCTGCAAGAGGCTTGCTTGACATTCAAATCAAAACCACCCTTGCCCTCATCCTTATAATTAACAAAAACCAGAGAGCAAACTGAACATGTGAATGCAATTTCATATACATATTTTCACAGAAGCACATTTTGATTATAAAAAGAGATACGATCAAGAGTTGATAAAGCATTCTAACAACTGCATATGTCAAAGTCTTGCTCGTTAAATTCTTGAACTTTCTCACACAAAGCATTCCATTGAACGCTTTGAATGCTTGATACACAAATCATACCTGAACATAGGGGAGAATGCACTATTAATTCCCTGAGTCAATATCACCACCCCCGAGTCTTTGTTGCATCTGTGAGACATGAACAAACTACGTCAAATCAAGTGCAGATACATGTACCAGCTCAACCTATGTAATGATTAAGAAAGGAAGTCAGGTGTAAAAAATAGGGGGCAGATTACTGAACAGATAGAAGGCAACTCACCTATGATCAGCATCATCACCTGCTAACTCATTGAATGGACTGCAGGCAGCATACATAGCACATGGCCTATTATAGCAGTACTTGATGCCAAGTTTTCTTGAATCTGATGACCACCCAACAAAGATCAATTTTTGTTGTGAGACTTTTGATGACGGAGCCCATACAGCTTGACCAACGCTCAATGAATTTTTAATCCCTTCAACGGCACGTACCTCACCGCTGCATAACATTATAAATAACCAACATTTTAGATAAACCACATTATGATAAATAATGCACACATTTTTTCCCCCATCTAACTCAGAAGGTGATGCAGAACCTGTCAACATTGATGACAAAGAGTGTAGGCCTCCTTTTATTCGCATATGTTTCCCCCCATCCCTCTTCCCAATCCCCGAGGGCTTTCCAGCTGTTACAATCCTTATCATTGGAACTTTCACTCTTGTAACCAAATGTATTGAAGATTGGTTTAGGAGGGGAAGGCTCCTCAGCAACATATGCAATAAGTGTTTCATCAGAATTCCAGGAAACACGTTCAAACCTGGTAGACAGAAACAATAGGGAGAAAAAAAAAAGGATTACTGCTTCAGCATCAGGAAAATTACGAGAAAATAAAAGCTAAAAGTAATAGGAAAAATATATATCAAGACCGAAAATGTAGTAAATGCCATAATCTATGTGAAATGAATTTAGAGGTAATAAAGTGAGGATCAACCATTACCATCCATCAGAGTAGACTGAACCATGAGTAGATTGGGGGATATGAAACTCCTTCTCCAAGGCTGAAGGGCCCCATATTTCAAGTTTGGTGGGAGAATCATTCTCAGGGTTTCGAACCATAAGAAGCTTTGAACCAGATGGTGAAGGCACCATTAATGATACCCCTGACAGCTCCAAGGGGAAGGGGGACCATTCGAAATTGATGGGCTTGTTTCCATCCTTTCTTATATAAGCAGATATCAAAGACTTTCTCGACTTATTTGCCAATAGATTTGACTGGTTAATAGAAAACATTGCTTTGGAATCCTTGCCTGCACAAATTTATGGGATTAAAGGACAACTATACTACAGATAGAAGTATGTTCTGAAACGATTAATAAATCAGCCATTGTCCTGTCAAGGCCAAACAATGAAAATTGAAGTTGTACCTGTATTTGATTTGAACACCCAGGCTTTGTTAATGCTAGGAATGCTAGTAAATTGTAAAAGTAGCTTTGACAGAGAATCATATTCTTCAGCCATGGTTGAGTCCAAGCCCAATGGCAACTCCTTTGAAGGTTCAGCTCCAGAAACATCCATTGCTGAGACGATTGACAACTTTTTTCTACAATAGATTATAAACGATAAAATCATAAGATAGCAACAAAATGCACCTTAAACATTTTTCAAATATTGCAAATTTGAAGGTACAAAATGTCAAAAATGCACAAATGAGGGAGGGTATCTTTACAAAGTTCACATATTGTGCAAGAAAACAATCAACCACATCAGTCCAGGCCTTTATCTACTCCATAAATGAGGCTGAATACCAAGGGCTGTTTGCTTGTTACCCCGGTATCATCTAATCGTCTTGTTCTTTCTACCCAAATTAGATACTTCTATACTAAAGCAATCTTGGCGAGGGAAACTCCCAGTAAGTTAATCTTCATTGCTACAATTTATTTTGCACACTTTTGAATTTACTAGTATAACTTTAGTCCGGGAAAATCCTAGCAATATGACAGAAAATACTAATCCATTGAAAAAACTGATTAAGACAAACTTGGGTCAATGTTATCAAGCTAAACAGACCAATTAAAACTAACCCTCTTATATCCTTATACCCTAACTGGGTGCATCAATGCCTACTATGTTCTCAACCTCTGAACAAACCCAAAACAAACTCGAGCCTAACCAATCAAGCTAAACAGACCAATTATGCTAATATTTAATGTGTAATTACCCAGTGTCAATTCCTACAATTTTCAGTTGGAAATAATCTGACGTTTCAATCCAGAAACACATTAGTAATCAAAGTTCCAATTTTCATTTCTATAATAATCATTTCCACCCAAGATCACCTTATTAATCAGTAACATCCACTCATTCTAATCATTCAAAATCAATTGAAAGAATTGCTAAGAAAAATAAAACAATTATGCAAATTAATTAACACAAGAATTAAAAGATGCAGAATTTATGGGCATTATATAATCCAATACAAATTAATCAAAATCAGAAAGTTGGACCCTTTGATTGTCAAAACAGTAAGCAAAGCACAGATAATATTCATATCAAGGAACACAATTGAACTAAAACAGTAATCAGTAGTTAAATAGTTAAATGAAGTGGGGTCAACACAGTGCAGTGAACAAAGAAAAAAGAAAGTAAAAGAACTTACAATGGAGAACGAGGAAGAGTGATCGAAGAATGAGAGTAAGAAAAGGAAAAGGGTGGAAATAGGGAACCCAATTTCAATGGATACAAATTCAAGTACTCACATTTGATTGAGGATGCAGAAGCGATATATCTTGTCATTCGATGCTTCCCATATCACTATATCAGAAGATTCTATTGTGCTGTACATACCTAGTTCTATGTAGGGATGACAACGGGTCGGACTTGAAGCGGATTATGAAGTCGGATATTAAATCCGACTCCGACATCCGACTCCGATATCCGACCTCCGACACCGATCCGACCCGACTTCAAGTTTTTTTTCGTTATTCAATATACTTTGAGAAACTGAGCTATTTGGCCCTTTACAACCCACACCCAATGCCACCATGACCCACATAAAAATCCACTATCTATTGGAGTCAGAGTCAGATAATCCGTCAGAGTCGGACATTTGTCGGAGTCGGATTTTTTTTCAGATTTTTTGTAGCATCCGACTCTGACCCTCCTCCGACTTGGAGTCGGATTATTTTAACGGATTATTTTTTCTCGGATTAATTCGATATCAAGGTGGAAAAAAAAACCCAACAAGGCCTGCAAAGGTGGTAATGGGTTTATGAGTTATGGCTACGACCCGACTTTGTAGTCCAACATTGGGTTGAACTTAATTGAGAGTTATCATATATGTCACATTTAATCAATATGAGTCTGTATGATTTTAAGTGGCTAACCTATAAGAAAATGAATGAGGCCACTTTTGACCCAATTTATCGGAAATAGCTCAATTTATTGAACACTTTCATAAAAGTTTTCTACTTTGTACTACTTTGTATTAGTCATTAGACCACCAAAATGTAGTGACTTTAAACTTTTAGGTCATATTTATTAACGTTTCCGTATATTGTAAATAGGTAAGAAATTAAACATAATAATGAATGAGAGCCAATTTTTTCTATAACCAAATCTAGTACTCCGTACAATACGAAGTAATAGTTTTAGCTCATTAATTAGGAAAGAGTGCTAGAAGTAATCTTGTAGAAATGCGAATACCGAGCGAGGATTTAGCTATTTATCAAGTTCACATGGTCCCTTGTTTAATACTCTTAGTGCTGTCAAATTTCAAACCGAAACCGTTTAACTGCCCGAATCCAACCGACCCAAATGAGAACCGAACTGATTAAAAACCATTTCTTTGAAACCGAAAACCGACCCGAACCGCATTTTAGTAAATCCGAAACCGAACCAATCCGAGTAATGTTAAACCGTTTAAGAACCGAACATGTTAACAAACCGAACCAAATATAAACCGAACTGAAAGAAAACCGAACCGAAAAAGAACCGAACCGTATCTAACCCGAAACCGATTCCAACCCGAAACCGTTTGAACTGGCATAAAAACCGCTTACACCGAACTGTTAGCAAACTGCTACTCGTTTGCACTGAACCATTTAAAAACCGAACTGATTGTAAACCGAATTGCTTATAAACCGAACCGTTTATGAACCGAACCGTTTATGAACCGAACTGCTTATAAAACGAACCGTTTATGAACCAAACAGCTTATAAATCGAACCGTTTACAAGCTTTTTTTGTATGTAATAATAAATTTTTTTTGGTGCACTTTTTTATGTAATTATATGGATTAAGTATTAGAAATCTTAGAATATATTTAGCATATATTCCATACTTATCAATTTTTCTTGAGACCATATACTTATCATATTAATTGTATATATCTTAGTAACTTAGTTAGTACTAAATTCCCTTAGAAATAGCACTTCGTTAGCTAATCCGTGAGTATTGACTTTAATTTGATTTTTGGGGAATAATCTGCAATTTTGGTTTTTTGGGCAATAACCTACAATTTTTTGGCCTTTTGGGCCTTATTCATCAACATAGCAGTATTCCAGTAGCATAATAGGATTAATAGCATTAACAAGTTATAAAACTTCTAATTCAACAAGTTTCAACTTAACAAAACCAAAACAAACTAATCAAATCCATACACATAATTAAACACTTTTTAACAACAAAGTAACAAAATCAAACCAACCAATCCATACAAACAAGTTTTAACAACAGAATCGTACAAGTTTTTAGCATAACAAGATTAACACCAGCACCACAGTCTGCAGCAGAATGGCAGATCAGCAGCACTGCAGACTGCAGCAGCAGAATGGCAGAACTGCAGCGATGGAAGAAGAGCAGCAGAACAACAGAATGGAAGAAGAGCAGCAGAACAGCAAAATGGAAGAAGAGCAGCAACAGAATGGAAGAACAACAAGTCAGCAGCACAGCAAGTCAGCAGCACAGCAAGTCAGCAGAACAACAGTAAGGAGAAGAAGCAGTCAGCAGTAGCAGCACCCTATACTTATCATTAGTGTAAGAAATGAAGCTACACTTTTCTCACAAAAAAAAAAAACAAGAAAGCTTGAATTAAGCAACACAATATAAATTAAGCATCAGTAAAATAGCAACATCCATACCTTTCTAATTAGATGCAAAACTTTCATCTATCACCTCTTTACCAATTTCAAGGACGTCTTCTTCAATATCACAATCATAACCACGTAACCAATTTTGTGTGGTAACCAACGCCTCAACATTCTTAGGCAAAAGTGCACTCCTATACTTGTTTAAAATAAGACCACCCATGCTAAAAGAAGACTCAGAGGCTACCGATGTAATAGGAATGGCCAAAACATCCCTAGCCATAATAGCTAATATGGGGTACACATTAATTTGAGATTCCCAATACTTGAGAACATCATAATTCTGCCCTTCAATTGATGGTTGACGAGGAGTATTCAAATAATTATCAATCTCCATCGATGGTCGATTTAGGCTATCATCAACATCAACATCCTAGAAAAGTAAAAAAATATGCTTTTATTAAATAATAAAAATTAAGACATATAATTATTATTTTAGTAAACCACAATAAACATAAAATGATTACCTTGAATATATCATCATGATCCAAGAGACTATTTGATTTATCAACCCCAATAGGGATGGAGGGGGGAACAATTGTACTTGACTTAAAACCGGAACACATAGAAGAATAAAAGTTATACAACTCCAAAAGAGCATCTTTAATCACCTTCGCCTTTTCAACACATGCCTCCTCAACATAAAGCACTTCCAACATATTCGTCAATCGAAAAAGCTTATAGCGAGGATCAAGAACAATAGCTATTGAAAGGATCAAACTATAGTCATCCCAATAGCCCTCAAACTTTTCAAGCATAACTTTTGCCATGGGTGCAAGTTTAGGGTCTATATGGGCTTTAGTTATTGTGTGCTCAATTTTCAAAACACTAGCAAAATACAAATTTGCGGTAGGATATTCAGAACCAGAAAATAACATAGTGATTTCATAAAATGGATTTAGGAAATGACATATTTTTGCAAGGGTATCCCATTCATCATCCGAAAGTTTGAATTCATAACCCATATACTTATCGATAACCACTTTCAAGGCTTCCTTTGCTTCTAAAGCTTTTCGGAGCATCGTATAGGTGGCATTCCAACGAGTCACAACATCAAGACGTAACTTACCGTTAAATAGACAGTTAACCTCAGAAAGAGCATGCTCAAATTGAGTAAGTCTAGAGTCCGAAGAATCAATATATTTACAAACCTCACGCAATTTTTGAACACTACTATCAACTTCTTTCAAACCTCTTTGAACAATAATGTTCAAGACATGAGCTGAACATCGAATATGAAAAAATTTACCATTACAAGGAAGAGGAGAAGTCAACATTAAATCTTTCTTCAAAAGTTTAACCATAACATCCATAGATCGAGCATTATCAACAGTAATTGCAAAAGCTTTACCCTGAAGGTTCCACTCCCCAATAAGTTTAAACACAAATTTTTCTATCTCAACACCAGTATGAGGAGGACCACAATATCTAAAATTCAGATTTTTAGACCTTAGACACCAATTTTTATCAACATAATGTGCAGTTAAAGTGAGATAACCTCGATTAGTGCATGCTGTCCACAAGTCACAAGTGAAGCTAACTCTACCTTCAATTCCAGAAAAAGATTGCAACAACAAGGACTTAAACTTATCATGCTCAGCAATACAATATTTCAACATTTTCAAGATTTGCAGAATGATGTATATTTTTACCCATGCATGCCTTAGTATGAGCTTTACAAGTGGAAGTACCAGCCTTACCTGGTGCTTTATATTCATTACCGCAAACATTTCATCGCGCATATCTTATCGGAGCAAGACCAACAATCTTATCAAAAAAGGTGTAATGCCTCCACACATCTGATGTTCGTCCACGCTTACTGATTAGGGGATTTTGCTCCCACCAATCGGAATGCGCCACGTGGGCCAATCAGGTCCTGCCAAGTGTCCCCCAGTTGGAACTGTCAGGGCTTGCCACGTGGCACACGCTTATTCGTCCACCCTGGACCTATTATGTCATGACACGTGGCATACTCCATGTCTAATGGAGAAACCGGCCACCTAGGCCCAACTTCCGAGGGAAGCCCAATCAGCCCAAGGTTAACCTAAACCTAGGATTGGCACGTTTCCCGAGGTTATAAATACCTCCCTTAATCCTCATTAAGGGGGATTACGCACATTAAACACTCTCACCTAGAGAGACCCAATCACTTTAATTTCCGCATTAATTACTCCCTAATCAAGTACTAACTTGACCGTCGGAGGCGGATCTCCAATCATCCGGAGCATCCGTTTGTTTTGCAGGTACAGGCGTCCGGTTCCAGTCTCGGAATTGTAACTCTCCCGCAGGACATCAGAAAACCCCGAAACATTTTGGCGCCGTCTGTGGGGAGAGTACTTTTGAGATGGCATCCACGTCTGTACCGACTCCTGAAGAGAGGCGTCCCCTAGACGACCCTCAAGTTCAGTCGGACCATGATACTGAGAATGAATTTGAAGTTGAAGCTCACACAACTTCAGACGGGACCCTAAGGGCCCGACGCACCCGTCATACCGAAAGGAGGGAACGGGAACATCTTCAAACTGGACTCAGTGATCCAGCAGGCGCACCGCCTGTTCAGCAGCAGCCGACTGATGGGTCTGCTCCCATTACAAGGAACGAACTCATGACCTTCATGAGGGGCTTCAAGGGAGAGATTCAAGAGTTGCTCAACAA